CCTGGATCCCTGGAAGTATCCCAGGCCAGGTTGGACAAGGCTTGGAGCACCCTGTGCTGGTGGAAGGTGTCCCTGCCCATGACTGGGGGGTGGCACTGGGTGGTCCTTTAAATCCCTTCCAACCCAAACCAGGACTGTGTGATCGTGACAAACCTCCCCCCCCAAAAATGATGGTGGCAGTGATACAATGGAACACACTAGAACCGATTCCTTGGGGTTTTAAGGAGGCAGATGGACATCCCGGTGTGTAGCAGTGGGAGACTCGATGTTTATTTTATGTCTGGAGAACACACAGGGGGAAAAAAAAATGGGTTTGTGAGGTGAGAAATGTTCTCAGAACAGTCAGTTTGTTTACAGACAGCACAGCAGGCTCCTGCCCTGCCTTTTAGATGACAAAGTGACATCTGAAAGGTGGCCTGGAGAGTCCTTTTCCCTGGCTCTCATGACGTGTGGGTGGCCCTGGGGACAGCATTTTAAATGTCTTGCTCTCCATGAGATTTTTGCAGGTATTCCATAAAACCTGCCGTTTTCCTAAGCCCTGAGTTATATTACAAAGAACTAAGTGCACACAGGGTTTGAGCTGAAGGTGCAAAGTCCCCAAAAAGTTTGTAAAACTTCAGTTTAAATTTAATTTATTACTTTAAATGGTGACGAGTTTTTAAAACGGTTCTTGATTTAAAACAAAAAAACAGCAACAAACCCCACAAAACCACCCCCCTCAAAAAAAAAATCCACAAAAATCCTCCAGAAAAAAACAAGAGAAACCCTCAAACACGTGTCCTGTGCTAATTTTGGGAAATGCAGTGAAATTGGGATACAGATATCCCAGAAAATGCCAGAAATGCAGGGTTTATCGCATATCCCTGCTGTCAGCGCTTCAGGTTGTCCCTTAAATCCCTGGGGAAGCTCCTGTTACAAAAAAGAAACTCAAAGCCACCCCCAACCATCCCAAAATAAAATCCCTCCCCAATTCCCCGAGGCTTGGGAAGAGTTTTTAATAAGGTGAGAGTGGGAATTAATCCATATTGTTGCTTTGAAGAAGCTCCCAAATTAATTCCCCGTGGAATGTGAGGAAAATGATTCCTCTTTCCTCACCTCTAAACTCCAACCTGTGGATTTTTTTCCCCAAAAAAAAGCAGTTGCCCTGAGGGGGATTTCTTTTCCATTCCCAAAGCCTTATATAGATGTGTATCATATATATATAGATAATACTTGTTACTTTGGAAAAGCTTCCAAATGAATTCCCCCTGGAACGTGAGGAAAATTATTCCTCCCTCCTCATCCCAAAATTCCAACCTGTGGATTTTTTTCCCAAAAAGGCTGTTGGCCTGAGGGGGGATTTCTTTTCCATTCCCAAAGCCTAAAAAGCTTCCCAATTAATCCCCACTGGAACATGAAGAAAATGATTCCTCCCTCCTCATCCCTGAACTCCAACCTGTGGATTTTAAAAAAAAAAAAAAAAAAAAAAAAAAAAAAAACACAAACAGTTGCCCTGAGGGGCATACATACATATATATATTTATATAAACCTTATAGATAGATAGATAGATAGATAGATAGATAGATAGATAGATAGATAGATAGATAGATAATAATTGTTACTTTGAAAAAGCTTCCAAAGGAATTCCCGCTGGAACGAGAGGAAAATGATTCCTCCCTCCACATCCCTAAATGCCAACCTGTGGATTTTTTTTTTTTTTTTAATTATTATTTTTTTTCCCCCCCAAAGGGACTTGAGGGATTGCTTTTCCATCCCCAAAGCCCTCGACATTCCCCATCCCGGCGCTCCTCGCCGCTTCCCTTTGCTCACATTTTCCATCCGTCCCGGGAGGAGCGAGGGCTGCGTGGAATGAGCACCAGTGGAAAATATTCGTGTGGCGGCGGCAGCGGCAGCTGCAGGGCTGGATTTTCCATGCGGGGAAGCCGGGGATGGATGGATGGAGGCGGGGACGGGTGGATGGCGTCAGCAGCCCCTTCCAGCCGCCCTGGAAGCCGCTCTTATAAACCCACAGAGCCTTCCGAGCTCGGGCCGGCCAAGATGCACTTGGGGCACGGCCGCGGCTCCCTCAGCTCCCTCAGCTCCCTCAGCGCGCTCCTGGCCGGCCCCGCCGCCGCCGAGCTCTTCGAGCAGCCGGACACGCGGGTAGGGCAGCCAAGGGGGGGCTGCCAGGGGTTCGTTTCAGTCATCCAGGGATTCCTTCATCCAGGGATTCATCGTGGGGGGAGCAGGGGACGCCGCTGAACAGCCCAGCGGGAACAGCCCGGCGGGAAGGCGCGGAGCTCCCGGTGCCGGCGCTGGGAGCGGGGCGGGTCCGGAGCTCCCGTTTGCCCCCTCATGAACCCCTGAACTGGCTCTGCTCGCGCTCTTTGGGGTTTTAGGAGGTTAAAATCCACTTTCTGCTTTTTCCAGGTTTTTTTTCCGTGGGTCTTTTTTTTTTTTTTTTTTTTTTTTTTTTTTTTTTTTTTTTTTTTTTTTTTTTTTTTTTTTTTTTTAATATGTGCCTGGCGCTGTCGTGTTAAAACCATAAGAAATCCTCTCGGCTCCGCGTTGAAGCGATTGGCATAATGTGATGTATTTAGTGGGTGTATTTAGGGGATAATGGGTATAGTGTGAGATATTTCGTGGATGTAGTGGAAGATATTTAATGGATATAATGGAATTTTTTCAAGGGGTATAAAATGAGATATTTCATGGATATTAGATATTCAGTGGATATAATGGAATATATTCAAGGGGTATAAAATGAGATATTTCATGGATATAAGGTATTCGATGGATATAATGGAATATATTCAAGGGATATAATGTGAGATATTTAATGGATATGAGATATTTAATGGATATAATGGAATGAATTGATATAAGATACTTAAGGGATGTAATATAAGGTATTTAATGGATATATTAGTGGAATATATTCAAGGGGATACAAAATGAGATATTTCATGGATATAATACAAGATATTAAATGGACATAATGAAATATATTCCAGGGATATAGTGTGAGATATTTCATGGATATAATATGAGATATTTCATGGATATAATGTAAGATATTTAATGGATATAATAGAATTTATTCAAGGGATACAAAATGAGATATTTCATGGATATAAGATATTCAGTGGATATAATGGAATATATTCAAAGGATATAAAATGAGATACTTAATGGATACAAGATCTTTAATAATTATATAGAATGAATTGATGTAAGATACTTAAGGGATGTAATATAAGATATTTAATGGATATAATGGAATGTATTAAAGGGATACAAGATGAGATATTTCATGGATATAAGATATTCAGTGGATATAATGAATTATATATTCAAGGAATGGAATATATGGAATATATATAATATATATATAATGTGAGATATTTAATGGATATAATACAAGATAAATACAAGATTTAATGGATATAATAGAATGTATTTAATGGATATAAGATATTTAAGGGATATAATATGAGACATTTAATGGGTATAATGGAATGTATTTAATGGATATGAGATATTTAATGGATATAATAGAATGTATGTAATGGATATAATGTATTTGATGAATATAGTGTGTTTAATGGATACAATATAATATACTTAATATATTTAATAGATATAAGTCCTAATACAGTGACTTTAAGGACAAAAACATTTTATTGAGTTGCCAAAGTGACATTTCTCACCTCTATAATCACACACATTAGATATATATATATATATATATATATATATTCAAAATGTAGTGGGGAAAAAATGCTAAATATAGAAATAATATAGTAGGAAAAAAATTTAAAATATGGTAGGAAAAAATTCAAAATGTAGTAGTAAAATAGTAGGAAAAAATCAAAATATAATAGGAACAAATTGCAAAATATAGTAGTAATATAATAGCAATACAGCAGGGAAAAGAGTCAAACTACAGTTGTAAAAAATTCAAAATACAGTAGCAAAAAAGAGGCAAAATACAGTAGTAAAGAAATTCAAACTATGGTAGTAAAAAATTCCAAATATAGTGGGGAAAAAAAAAAAAAAGCCAATGAGGTAATGTTTCTTTTGGCTTTGTACTGAACTTCTGGTAAGTTTTTAGGGAGAGAAAATACCTGACAGTGGGTGAAACTGGAATGTTTAATGTCTTGCCATCAGTGCAGGGAGGTCTGTGAGTGGTTCTGAGTGTGAGTGGAACGCTTGGCAAGAGCCTGGAATCTCCTCCTCTGGCCTGGAATTCTGCAGGAAGAGGGGAAGCACTTTTCGTATAAATCAGATTAAAAATAGCAGTAAAGCAGGAAACGTTCATGGGCTTTGCTCTGCTGAGTCACTGGAGAAAATCACATTTCCCTTGCAAATATGTTTGCATTTTTCTCTCTTAAAACTTGTGTCCTCCTGGAAAATTCCACACTTGGCCAAAGGCTTGGCAGACTTTATTCCAGGCCTTTGGGTATTAACTTTAGAAGGAGCATTTCTTTTCCAGTATCTTCCTCCTGTTGTTACACTGGGGCATCTTGTACACTTATTAATTATTATAATATACACTTGATTATTGTAAGTTATTTCTTAGTAATTATTTTAATTTAGATATTTATTTTATTATTTATTATATTTGTTTTCATTACTTGCCACTCTAATATATTTACTTTTATTATTTATTATTGTAACCTGTTTTAATAGATTTTATTACTCATCTATTCTTATTACCATATTTATTATTAATTTTAATAATATTTTCATTTTAAATGCATTATTTTAAATTAATTTATTAATAATTTAAAATCAATTTATTAATAAGTTTCAATAAGGAGGGGGAAAAGCTGTAGAGAAAAACAAGTGGGAAGGTCAAAAAATTCAGTATTTCCTAGAAATATTCCTAGAGAAAAAAGAGGGAGACAACAAAATCCACCAAAAAGTGGTGGCAGGGTGACTTTCTATCTTTTCCTTTATTTCCTGGGGATAAATCACATTTCAAATCCCTTTTTCCCACCGTTTTTGTGTCCCCCAGGCCAAGTTCGAGTCCCTTTTCCGTCCCTACGACCGGGAAATCACCTTCCAGTATTTCAAGAGCTTCAAGAGGGTCCGGATCAACTTCAGCAACCCCCTGTCTGCAGCAGATGCCAGGATCCAGCTGCACAAGACAGAATTCCTGGGAAAAGAGATCAAGCTCTATTTCGCCCAGGTAAAGCTTCTCCCGGTTTTTTCTTGGAAGCTCCGAAGGAAAACTCCCTGTGTTTGTGTCCCTGGGGATTGTTTGGATGGCCTGGGAGATGGTGGGAATCCCTGAGGGGATAACGAGGGGCAGAGCTGCACATTCCAGGCTTTTCCAGGTCTTGGAGATGTCCATGGGAGCAGCTCTGGAGCTGCCAGAGAAACTCTGGGAATCCAGGTGGGGTTTGGGAGCTGCTCAGGGTTTCCTGCTGGAAATGGAATGGGAAGATGAATCCTGGTGTGGGAAAGGGAATCTTGGTGTGGGAAAAGGAATCTTGGTGTGGGAAAAGGAATCTTGGTGTGGGAAAGGGAATCTTGGTGTGGGAAAAGGAATCCCTGTGTGGAAAAAGGAATCCCTGTGTGGGAAAAGGAATCTTGGTGTGGGAAAGGGAATCTTGGTGTGGGGAAAGGAATCCTGGTGAGGGAAAATGAATCGCGGTGTGGGAAGATGAATCCTGGTGAGGGAAAAGGAATCCTGGTGTGGGAAAAGGAATCTTGGTGTGGGAAAAGGAATCTTGGTGTGGGAAAAGGAATCCTGGTGAGGGAAAATGAATCCCAGTGTGGGGAAAAGAATCCTGGTGTGGGGAAAAGAATCCTGGTGTGGGGAAAGGAATCCTGGTGTGGGGAAAGGAATCCTGGTGAGGGAAAAGGAATCTTGGTGTGGGAAATGGAATCCTTGTGTGGGGAAAGGAATCCTGGTGTGGGGAAAATTAATCACTGTGTGGAAAAATAAATCCCTGTGTGGGGAAAAGGAATCCCTGTGTGGGAAGATGAATCCTTGTGTGGGAAAAGGAATTCCTGTATGGAAAAATTAACTCCTGTATGGGAAAAGGACTCCTTGTGTGGGAAAAATGAATCCTTCTGTGGGGAAAGGAATTCCTGTCTGGGAAAAGAAATCTCTGTGTAGGAAAAGGAATTCCTGTGTGGGAAAAGGAATTCCTGTATGGAAAAATTAACTCCTGTATGGGAAAAGGACTCCTTGTGTGGGAAAACGAATCCTTCTGTGGGGAAAAGGAATCCTGATATGGGAAAAGAAATCCTTATGTGGGAAAAATGAATCCTTCTGTGGGGAAAAAGAATCCTTCTATGGGAAAAGGAGTCCCTGTCTGGGAAAAGGAATCTCTATGTAGGAAAAGGAATTCCTGTATGGGAAAATGAATCCTTCTGTGGGGAAGATGAATCCCTGTGTGTCTGCTTTGGATGTTCCAGTTCATTTCTGTCCCTCCTGGAATTCCCACCCCTCTCTCTTTTGTTAATGACTTTCCCCCCCATTTGTCATTAAAGGCCATATCCAGCTTCCTCCCACTGCGGGATTTTAAGGACAGAGGTTTTGTTTTCAGGGAAACCGGGGAATTGAAGGGAACTTCCTTGGAAGTTCCATGGGAATTGGACGCGGTGGCTGGGCTGTGCAATCCTGGCTCGTGCTGCCACCCCGAGTCCCCGGCAGAGAACAACACCTCTCCCAGCCTCAAAATTCCTTGGATAACAATGCCACGCCTTTGGCTTTCCCGCCCTTTTTTTTTATTCCCAGACTTTGCACATTGGAAGCTCCCACCTGGCACCCCCAAATCCGGACAAGCAGTTCCTGATTTCCCCTCCGGCCTCTCCCCCCGTGGATTGGAAGCAGGTGGAAGATGCAACTCCAGTCATCAACTATGACCTTTTATATGCCATTTCCAAGTTGGGACCAGGTGAGGAGGGGTAAAAACCGGGATGTGGAGCGAGGAAAAAAAACCCCCTTTGAACTTCCTGAGCTTCCCAAACTTTTCCAAGAAACCCTTACCTCCCAATTAAACTGGTAATGTCAGATTAAGTTCTTAGTGAAAACAGTGATTTCTTACACGTGTAGGACTGGAAATCTGCCCATCCAGGATCCTGCTGATGAATTCCGTGTAGTTTTAAATTAAATCACGTATTTTTATCAAAGATTTTAATTTTCCCGAAGCCGATTTCGGAAGCAAAGCTGGTGGTTTTGATGGAACAGATTGAAGGAATAGATAATATAATTTATAATATTATAAATAACCAGACAGCTGCTGTTCGTATGAAAAGCGCAGAGCTGCTGTTTCTTTACTCCAGGCTTTCCTTGGAATTTTTTTAGGAATACCAGAAAGAAACCTGAAGCTCTTAAAATAAATATTTAAATATAAGCTCTTATAATAAATATTTTTTGTCCCCTGTCGTTGAGCTCCCCTAAAATTCCTGGGAAAACAGAGCTGGAACAGCTGAGTGCAGGTCAGCTGCGCTCTTATGGAGCTCGAGGAGTGACAGGAACAGGGGAACAAGGACAAAAATGAAGGGAGGAGCCGAAAAGAACCAGTTTGTTCCTTCCCTGACGGAACATAAAATTAAAACTACCTGGAGCCTGGGCTTGTAATTTATTTTTATTTAGCTGTGTTACATTATTTTGGGTTTTAAACGGTGAGTCAGCGCTCAACGAAAATCCCTCGGGGCGGTTTTATTCCCTCGCTGATCTTCACACCTTAAAAAAAAAAAAAAAAAAAACCCAGACCAGCCAGTCGGTAAATTTTCGCGCAGGGTGGAGGGTTTTGGGTGCGAGCTGGGCGTTGTTCTTGTGCCGCAGGGGACAAGTACGAGCTGCACGCCGCCACCGCCACCACCCCGAGCGTCGTGGTGCACGTGTGCGAGAGCGACCAGGACAGCGACGGCGACGCCGCCGGCGACAGCGACGCCAAGAAACCCAAACCCAAAATCATCCAGACCAGGAGACCGGATTACACCCCTGCCCACCTCAGCTGAGCTGCTGCTGCTGCTGCTGCTGCTGGTGATGGTTGGGTGTTTTTCCCGAGGGGTTTGAGCAGGAAGCTTCCAGGGGGAAAAAAAAAGGGCGGCTCGCAGGTTTTGGCGGGCGGAGAAATTCCCGTCTTAGGTTTGCTCGGAGAAAATAAAGGAAGTTTCCTCCTTCTTTTTTTTTTGAGGCTGCAGGTTGATCCATGGGGGCATTCCCAAATCGCTGGGAGCAGAGGATGGTGTTTTTTGAGACAAAACCAGGTTTGTTTTGGGGGGTAGAGCGGCTGGGGGAGCTTTCCTTGCCCGACTCTTCAATCCTCCGGTCGTGTGGAAAAACCTGGGGATCACAGGGAAGGTTTTTAGGGTGAAAAGTGTGGGAATTGTACTTTTTCTTATCCTGCATTTTGTGCATGTGTATTCCTGGGTCTTCTAAAGTAACTTGGGAGTTCTTTTCTAGGGTTTCTCACGAGCTTCTGGAAACGGGGGAGTATTTCAAGTATTTATTGTCTCGGCACCCCCCAGATTTCCCTCTAGATGTGTAAATACATATATTTATATCTGTTTTTATCAGCACTGCCTTTCCAGCAGGCACAAAACTCCTTCAGCCCCTCGGTTTTAGGGGCAGTGGGACTCGTGCTTTTAAAAATCTGAACCTCTGGAATGCCTCCAGGGGGTTTTATCTGGAGAAAAAAAAAAAAAAAGAAAAAAAAAAAAGTGCAATGGGAGCCTTGCTGAAATAAATGGATTTTAAGTTATTTAAGTTCTAGATAATTTATATCTTCAATAACGTTTGTTTGGTAGCTTTGACTTGGGGAGGGGAGTGGGAAATAAAGGACTTTTAAAGGTATAAATAAGGCTAATGGTGCATATTCCGAATTTTTTCAGTGGAAAAAAAAAAATGGTGATGGAGGGACTTGAACCTGCTTTTTTTTTTGTGTGTGTGAGAAAAGTTTTAATGGTGATTGTAAAATTCCACACAGGGTGTAAAAACAGGGAGGGGAGAGACGGTGCCTTTTCCTTGGCCGTTCCTACTCCAGGCTGCACACTTGGATCTTTTTCTACCGGCTTTGTACATCCAAAAATCCCAACCTTTTCTTAGCTTTGCCTCCAGACTGAGCTGGTGTGAAATGCTTTAATGCCAAGTAATGCACATTTCAATAATGGGAATACGTGGGAGAAGCTTTAGGGGGTTTTTATATTGTTCCAGACAGTCCTGATAATCCGGATTTCAAGGCAAATAAAAGATGAGAGAAATGTATTTTATTACTTGGTTTTCTTTTTTGTTTCAACTGGAGATCCTCACCTTGAAACAGGTTGTCAGTATTTTTTTTGGCAGAGACAGGAGCTGATTTTTGTGGAAAATATCTTTTATGGGCCTTGGGAAGTTTGTTGGAAGTTTCTCACCGTGGTTTTTTTTTTTTTGGGAATCCAAACGTGGTTCTCTCTTGCTTTGCTTTGGCCACAGTTGGGTCTGAGAAGGAGCTTGGAGCCAATATTGACTTAAATACTCTTGTTTTCTTTAAAAAAATGATACCTATTTTAAAGCTGAAGATGTGGGATGGAGCCCTTCCAAGCTGGGAAACAAGGACTGGCACTGCCAAGTGACAGAGAAATCAGTGACTGGAGAACGGGAATACATGGAATTTCCTGCCCTGGCTTTGATCACTGGTCCCTGGAAACTGGAAGGAACCTCGGTCCTTAGTGTTAAAAAGAGCTCATTCCACGTGTTGCTGGAGCTGGTTTGTGGACAAAACAGGGGAAATTCAGGTTATTTTGGGGGTACAACAATCAGCTGGGTCCGTGTCCTGTGTACCAGCCCCCAAAATAAAGGAATAAAGCAGGTTTGCCACAACTGCCTTTAAGCCTTTCCAAGATTTTATTTTTTTTTTCCCCCCCCATGTTCCTCAAATTCCTGCTGGACTTTGGTGTTTCACCCCATTTAAAATGGAAGAATTCCTGTCTTTTTTTTTCCCACCATGGCAAATCAGAACGTGACTTTTCCATCACAAACCCAGGGAGCTGCTGTTCTGTTTCCTAAAAAAAAAAACCCCAAAAAACCAAAAACAACAAACAGTGCTGCTTTTCAACTAAACCCACCAAAAGACATGAATTTTATCCTTTCCTACACTGAGGAAGTGGCCACTGGAAAGCCTGGAAATCTTGGAATGGTGACAGTGTGTGTTCCTGGTTGTATCTCCTTGGCTTTGCCTGTTAATTTTCCTTTTATTTTATTTTATTTTATTTTTATTTTTAAATGTTCAGCTGAACGCTTAGTTGGCATTTTCTACAGTTGTACAGCACGGGGCATATTTAAATTAAAATATTTTGTTGTCTTCTTCTTGTACAGGCTGTCGTGGTGTTTGTGCAGGAAAGGGTTTGCTCCAAAAGGAGGATTTGAAGCTTCCCAACAACTGATTTGCAAAGGGGGGGTGGGGAGGATTTATTGCCAGTTCAGCTGAGGGAGCTGGGGGGGTTCATCTGGAGCAGAGGAGGCTCAGGGGGGACCTCATTGCTCTCTGCAACTCCCTGACAGGAGGGGGCAGGGAGGGGGGGTCGGGCTCTGCTGCCACATCCCAAGGGAAAGGAGGAGAGGAAATGGCCTCCAAGTGCCCCAGGGCAGGTTCAGAGCAGAGAGCAGAAACAATTTGTCCCTGCAGGAGTGGTCAGGCCTTGCAATGAGTGTCCCAGGGAGGTGGTGGAGTCCCTGTGTGTGGGAGTGTCCCAGAGGGGTCTGGATGTGGCCCTTGG